CTGTCTCTGCATATGGCGCTTAATAACTTTGGGGGACCGACCCCTGTAGTCGCAGTGCTTGCACTCAAACACCGGATTGTTGTGGATGTCCGCCAAATGTGTGCGCAAACGGAATTCCGTATCAAAAGTAATCACACATTCATTGCAATAATAAGTGATTGGATGACGATTTCGTTTTTTCTTGGGTTTGGGTTTTGTCGCCCCCTTTGGTTCACTCAATACATCAGTTGCACCGGTAGTCTCGGCCCGACTTTCGACAACTGGTTCGTGAGATTCATCTAAAAATTTGTTTCAAAATTATTGCCACTAATTGTAAATAACATTCCACTCGTGTCTCTCTATTACCTCTGCTTTTGATGACATCCAATGTCATCGCATTTGATTCAGTGACTACTTGTCCCACATTTTGCGTGTCATTCGTGTTGTCATCGACAGTGTCTCGCATTTCATTTTCGTCTAAAAATTATTTTTAACATTTAAATCAATTATTTCTAATCAAGTAGTGATGGAATACCCTCTGAGTTGACATCCTGTGGCACCGCTTCAATGGTGGTGGTCAGGGGCGGTAGGGTTGTACCCGTTATACTCTCAGCATTATTGGCTACATTTTCAATCACTTGAACACAAAATTAATCATTTTATAACAGATATTATTATTAATTAAACGGTAGGTAACCTTCCGTTTTGATGACATCCAGTAGTGGCAGTGCATCTGATCCTAAGACCTGTCTATTATCTTCAATACCACAACTGTTAGTGTTTTCAATTGAATTACTGTTAAGGTCTTCGACATGTGCAGCGGCTGTCGTTTGAATAGTATCTATAAATTATTTATAATTTAAACCCATTATCTGTATTGATCTGTGAATTACCCTCGGTTTTAATGACATCGAGTGGCGGCACCGACGAGTCCACGACCTGTCCATTAGCTTCAATGCCCGTAGTATTAGTGCTTTCATTAATGGTGTCATCGATTTCGTAATTATCTGTAAATAGCATTTGAATACAAATATCTAATCCATAGGCAGGTATGTCTGTACGATACCTTCGGATTTAATAATGTCCAGTGGTTTGGGAACTCCTGAAACCATTACCAATTGACAATCATTTTCATGTGAATCACTATTTAGATCTCCCACT